CGATGGCACGGTCTCAAAGCGTAGCTTCGCACCGCAAGATCCTGTAATTCATTGAGGTTGAAAGGCACACTGTCCTGTTCGTCGCCGAAGCAGACAAACAGCTCCCCTGCCAAACGGTCTTGGACCCAAGTGTAGCCCGTGACAATTCCATACTCCCAAGCTTTTGGGGAGCGAGGGGACACTTTTGCAACGCATACACAGCTACCCACGTAAGTCACAATTCCGCTCAGCGCTTCCTCCTTGCTCACCGCCCGTTGTTTCACCTCGTCCGAAGAACGGTCGCACTCGAACGCATCTAAAGAAGCCCATCACCCGCTCGAAATCCTCGTCACCGAGACATCCACTTGGACTGAAGCAGGTAGGACAGCCGAGCCATAAGCGTAGCCGTTAGTCGCGAGTGCGTTTGGCTTGAAAAAGGCAAAGACCGTAGAAGCCGCGATACTGAGAAGCAAAAGGGCGGACTGAGCGGTTTCTTGACGTGTCGGTTGAGGGCTTAAGTGCTACCGAGAGGCTTTCGAAATGTCTAGCCTATTTCTCTACCTCTACCGCGATCGGGAAACCGACGTTTCGCCGTTGCTCTTCGACCACTTCGGGTCATGGCACGTTTCAAAACCCACCATTTCACCACAGGCAATGATCTGGTAGCTAGTAATGCGCAGGAAAGCGCTGGAGTCACCTCTGGTCTCTCGGTTGGTCACAAAATTGCTCTACGCGTTGCGTCATCCTAAACTCAACTAGTTTATTGCTAAGTGGGTCTCCTGGTGGCGAGAGAATGGTGTCACTGTGACGGGTGAGGTGATTAGACTGAAGTCAGAATGCTTCTCCCTGATCGTAATGCTCGAGTCATGTCCATAGCGGTAGAAAGGGTAGATTTCGTTGGTTCAACGTTCCGTGACAGCAATAACACTCTTTGTGCAGTTGTGACTTTTTCCATAGTTAAGCACCGATATTAGGAATATTTGACTTCAAATGTAATCCATTTTATAACTGAGGAGTGACAGGGAATAATATCTTAGGTTTGTATGTGACTAGTAAACAGGAACCCTATTTTTTTGTTTGCTGATGAGGGAGTATTCCTAGCCTTGGGGATACGACCGAGGGGGTAGTATGTATATGGAGCAGGTTTAAATTTTTGAATCATGATTGATTTTCGATTGGTAATTATTATTTTTGCTCCCAACATTACCGTAGAAGATTTTTTGAAATATTTGTTGTATTTGCGAGCCATCTGAAGTGAATACCCATTGTAGAATACGTGTTAACTCCGAAGTAGAAGGAAGCATCGCTTCATCAAACGCCATCATCGAGGGGGGGGGGATGAAGTTGCGCTGAAACTTTTCTTGCAGTGATTACCGGCCGGAGTTTCACGCTCGGTTGGATGTCGCCCTCGGATCGAAGTTACTGTGAAAGTGTAGATTCCAGGAAATGTGTGTAAAAATCGGTCGCGCTTCATGTAACGACCAAAGCAGCCTCGAGGGATAGATCTTTCGTCTGTGGTCTTCCAGTGATGCTAAAATTTCTCTTTCTTAGGAGCGATAGTCCGCGCAAAAAGCAGCCCAATAAAAACACACAACTCTCTGCCAGAAATATCTTTTTTTTGCAATGCTGTCATGATTTGTTGTGTAGTTTGGGCTTGGTACGTTGGCTTCTTCAGATGCGGGTGTTTTGGTTGGCATGTTGAGCGTCCTCACGGTCGTCCACGTTCTCCTTGGAGTAGTCGTTGCTGATGCCCGCGTTATTCTCAATAGTTACGGCGTCACAAACAGCAAGAACGCCCCAAGATCACTAGATGCGGGCGTTAGTGCGTCCTTGTTTGATAATTGAACGCATCGAGATATACCAGGAAAATCTTCACGTAGCCATACTTGGAGTCTATTTTCAAACGCTCCTGCGTGTCGGAGAAGGGTGTCTGGAGCTGGAGTACTGCCCAGCCATTCAATTGCATATTCACTAGCATTTCTGAGAGCACGGTACCGCCCGCCACAGCACCCAAACCGCCAGCCGCGTGAGGCCGTGCCGGATCAAAAATAAGATCTGTTGGGGGTCTTTCATCGTCGTTAACACCAGGAACAGGCTTATCGAGTGCATCGTCGTCGTCGTTTTAAACCAAATCGGCTTCACCGTCTCTCTCAAAATCGAGCTCTCCATATTCACCACTCTCGTCGGGGCTGACAATATTTGGATCCGAAG